GGTAGCATCCTTTAATCCTGTCTGGACCCCCAGAGGCTTCTGGTGCCCTGCCCCTAGTTGGCACTGCTTTCTCCCCACTCAGGGGATTTTGGCAAGTGAGACTGGAAAGAATCTTTGGACTTAAGGCTTTGCGTTCTTAGGTAGTCCCAGCCCTGCATTTCTGAGTTAGACCTCACAGAGGAGAGTTTTATTTGGCAGACAGACAGACATGGTCCTCTCTAAGCACTCTGCTGCACTCAGAGGGGATATGTCTGCCCAGGCCCTCAGGAACTCTTGAGTCAGGGCTGTTCCCCATCCCAATCATAGGTAATCTCGGATCAGAATCTGGCCCTTCCATACAGCAGGAAGTACCCAGAGCCCATCTGGATGGTGGTGGGTTAGGAGATGTGCTCTGGCTCTGAGGCTTGCTCTGTATCATGGTATGCTAAACAGTAGCCGAGGGTGTGACCTTGTCTGGGGGTCTGGTGAGCAATCCCAAGTGCAGAGCTTGAACCTCACCTTTCCTTTCTTCTAGCCTGTGCGTCCTGATGTCTGACTGGTTCAACTTCCATGGTCATATGTGCATCGCCTTTGAGCTCCTGGGCAAGAACACCTTTGAGTTCCTGAAGGAGAACAACTTCCAGCCTTACCCCCTACCACATGTCCGGCACATGGCATACCAGCTCTGTCATGCCCTTAGATGTAAGTGTCCACCCTCAGATGGAGTGCCTCACACCCACAACAAAATAAAAAAATAGGGTCCTTCCCTATTCTGCAGGGTCTCAGCAGCTGTCAGGTAGGAATCTCAGTGTGATGATGGAAGAGCTAGAGTCCCCTTCAGGGACTTTGTAAGGCCCAGGCTCTGCCTGGTGCTCAGGAAAGAACTGCTTAGAAGTGGGCCAACCCTGCCTTTACCTTCATGCATAAGAGAAAAAAGTATAAGGTAGACCTGACAGATCCTTCCATGGGTCCTGCCCACCGAAAGACCTGTCATCTGTCTACCAACCTCAAAGGGCCAGTGCTCTTTGGTGGTGCCAGTGGTCAGTACTGTGGTACTCATGACAGTTGTAGTAGCACAGAAAGGTCACTTGGAGAGGAAGGTGACAAGTGAAAGGCCTAGAACTAGGATGTGCAGTATCTTGAGTAGGCGGTAGGGATCGGGGCCAACAAGCAAGGGGTGCAGCTCTGCAAAGGCCTGGCATGTGTTGACTCACTCCATTGGAAAAGGGAACATGCTGGAGAGTGCTCTAGCTCAGGTGGGGCCACACAGTTGTGAGGGTCTTACAGACCAAATGGGAACCTTGAAGTTGAAAAGCAATGAGTGGCATAAAGTGCTAGAGATATAGGTTGGAGGCCGAAGGCTTTCCTGCTCAGGGCTGGGTTCATAGGCATGTGACCTGACAGCCAAACCTTTTGAGCAAAGGCACCTGAGTTTTCACTCCACAATGGGTCCTGCTAAGTTAGGTAGCTAGTGCTGAGGAAAGCGATTCACTCAAGCTGTTGGTGCAGCTTTGGTGAGAGATGGTGAGGCCACCTCCTACTCTGTAGAAGGGTTTTTGGAAAGCACTTCCTCTCTTCGAAAGGCCTATGAAGCTCACGCTGTTGGTGCAGCTTTGATGAGAGATGGTGAGGCCACCTTCTACTCTGTAGTAGAAGCATTTTTGGAAAACACTTCCTGCCTGTCTTCGAAAAGCTTATGAAGCCTCATAGAGCTCTTGAGAAGGAAGCCTGTAGAGGCAGAGCTAGGGGCCAGCTCCCTGCCGGGGTCAGGTATAAAGAGCTCAGGGCTGGTGCGCAAGCAAGTGGGGAACCTGGGGTCTCAATACCTGCTTCTCTTCTCTCCTCTCAGTTCTACATGAGAATCAACTGACCCACACAGACTTGAAGCCAGAGAACATCTTGTTTGTGAATTCTGAATTTGAGACCCTCTATAATGAGCACAAGGTAGAGCACTAGGTGGGCAAGAGTATGGCTCTGGTCCAAGGTGGGTCACCCACTGGGGCAGACTGACCTAGCTGACCTGCCTTGCTTTCAGAGCTGTGAGGAGAAGTCAGTGAAGAACACTAGCATCCGAGTGGCAGACTTTGGCAGTGCCACCTTTGACCATGAGCATCACACCACCATTGTGGCCACCCGTCACTATCGCCCTCCTGAGGTGATCCTTGGTGAGTTTAATAGCCTCTAGTTTTCTTTGCACTGGGCAGTTGTCAAGAGGTTGAATAGCTAGATGGGGTGGTACCTATAGTCCCAGCACTTGAGAGGTAGGGGCGCAGAAGGATCAGGAATTCAGTAGCCTCTGCTATGTATAGTGAGTTCAAGGCCAGCTTTGGGCTACATGAGATCCTGTCCCAAAAAAGGGGCAAAGTAGTAATGGTGGTTGTCCTGAGTAGTGCCCATCAGCCTGCCACCCAGGGCTAGACAGTATCATGAGACACTGAGGTAGACTTGGCCTTGTAGGCTTAGCCTAGTCAGAAAGGGCCTTGTTGTTGGGGTTTGGGCAAGAGTCCTGCTAGCCAGAGTGGCAGCTTCCTGCAAGTAAAGCATTGTGGGTCTCACAGCCTCCCATCTTGGCTTTCAGAGCTGGGCTGGGCACAGCCCTGTGACGTCTGGAGCATCGGGTGCATTCTCTTCGAGTACTACCGGGGCTTCACACTCTTCCAGGTACAGTACTGAGTTGATGGGCTGCAGGGCACACGGGTTGACAGCTGAGGAATTGGTGTTTTCCACCCCCACCATTTACCATGTGAGTCCAAATTCAAGGGTACAACTTGTAGTTGCTCAGGGGAAAGGAGTAGGTTGATGAGGCTGAAGCAGTCAAGGAGTTTTCTGCTAGACTTTGTCAAGGACTGAAGAACAGAGGATTCTGGGTAATAAAGGTACATTATTAGCATCCTGCATCATGAAGAACCAACTAAAGGTGTGCAGTCAGAGCAAGCTAGGTCTAAGGGTGAGCTTACATCTGATTCTAGGCCTTTGGGCTGCCACCAGGTTGGGACTGGGACTGTTTTCCATTGGTAGGTTTTCCTTGCCTGCCACCAGGTTGGGGCCGGTAGAGCTCTCTTAACCTGTCTCTTCACCCTTTATTCTGGAGGGGGCAGAGTTTAGAACTAATTCCTTCTTGCTCCGGTCTCTGCAGACCCATGAAAACAGAGAACACTTGGTTATGATGGAGAAGATCCTAGGGCCCATCCCATCCCACATGATCCACCGTACCAGGTAAGGAGCACTGTGGCTCCCTTGGGGCAATGGGGGAATTTTTCCTGCCTCGCTCTGGATCAGGAGGGTACCCCAGACGGTTTTTACTCTATGGCTCTCCAAGTTCCTAACAGCCTTCTCTATATGTCCCTTCAACTGATAGGGCAACACTGTTGCCCATACTAGCTAGTTCTGCTGCTGTTTGGAGACTACCAGGAACCACCTTTCCCCACCTCCCACCTGAGCCCAGGTTCTTTGAGCTTCCACTTGACCTGTCTCCCTCCTTCACTTTCCAGGAAGCAGAAATATTTCTACAAAGGGGGCCTGGTTTGGGATGAGAACAGCTCTGATGGGCGGTATGTGAAGGAGAACTGCAAACCTCTGAAGGTCAGTTTCTGGCTCCCCCAGCTCAGCTCATGCCAAGGAGACCCCAGGCACTGGGCAAACAAGCAGCAGAGGCAGGACGGGCAGCCAACGGCTGCCTGCTCATTCCAGCTCTGTGTGAGGCAGCACCCAAGACTACTGGGTGCTGGCTGTGGGGCTTTCTGCAAGCTGCCCCAGAGGGGCTCTTAGGCCTGCCCCTTCCCACAGGGTGGCTGTGAATATAATGGGGGAATACCAGAAGAGCCAGCTGTCAGACTGCTGCTTCCTGTCCCTCTCCTCTCAATTTTGGGAAGAACTAGGGAGGACTGAGGCAAGGGGGAGGGAAGACCTAGATGTGGCCAGGAAGGAAGCCTGTCAACTGCATTTGGTACCTGGACAAGTGAATTACGCAGAGGTGATTTCTACCTACCTGTCAGGACTTTGCATGTTGGGTAGAGGCACCAACCCAGCAAGACCCCACCCGGTAGCCTAAGGAAGGAAAAGAGCGGCTCTTCTGTCCCGGAGGGCAGAAGTAGAGTCCTCTAAGGAGGCATCGTTGCCTCCTCAACCCAGGCCTGCAAGGCATCCCAGAGGCAAGGGGACTGAAGTGGCTTCCCAGGACCCTGCCATCACACTGAGGCACCTTGTGTCCCTGAGCAGAGTTACATGCTCCAGGACTCCCTGGAGCATGTGCAGCTGTTTGACCTGATGAGGAGGATGTTAGAGTTCGACCCTGCTCAGCGCATCACACTGGCAGAAGCTTTGCTGCATCCCTTCTTTGCTGGCCTGACTCCCGAGGAGCGGTCCTTCCACAGCAGTCGTAACCCCAGCAGATGACAGGTGCAGGCCCACACATGAGAAGCTGGAGAGCTGGACTGGGCTGCTGGCCCCTTTTTTCCAGCCTCTCCCACTGGCCTCAGAGCCACGAATGAACAGTGCAATGTGAAGGAAGGCAGGAGCCTGCAGGAGGGGGATGTGGTGCCCAGCTGCCAGAAAGCACAGATTTGACCCAAGCTATTTATACGTTGTAAAGTTATAATAAAGTGTTTCTTACTGTTTGTAACCCCTGGTACCAGTGTGTCCATCTCCAGGCTCCTTGCCTTTTCCCATCCCTGGTCTATTAATAAAGTCTTTCTTAGCAGCTCAGCTTGTGGAAAGCTAAGTGTGAACTGGAGCAGGCAAATCAATAAATAAATCAGAAGCTGGGACATCCCTCTAAGCAGTTTTGGCCTCATGGTGGGGATGAGGTGGTAGGTCTGCCAAACCTAGAAGGCTCTGGCATCTTTTAGCCTCAAGGGAAACTGCCCACTATAGCTAACCAGACAGGATCTGGTTTCACTTACCCAACTACCCTGTCACTGGTTACGGGCTGTATGTACCTAACAATCATGGAGATCAAGGTGAGCTCCTAGGGATTGGGGAAAACATCTCATAGTCTACAGACCAGTTCATACAACACAGGACTCTGTCACTCAGCTTTATTGTAGTGCTGGCTTTTGGTTCCCCAAGAACTGCATGAATTACCAACCAACAAGACTTGACTACCTGATTGAGACTGGCTAATGGGCAGGAACCTCTGAAAAGAGCTGCAGATAGATAGGAGGTCACATCTATAATAATTCTAGGGAGACCCAGGCACAAGGCAGGAAGAGGAGAGGCCTTTTAACAAGGCTATCACTTCCGGGGACACTGCAAGGTCCCAATGCTTGCTGTTCCTAGGACAATTCTAGCTCATTTTCCACTGTGCCTGTAGTAGCCTGTGTTGCCAGGCAGATGGAACCTATAGTGGCTGCCTGCTGTCCCAACTGTGACCCTAACTATAGAGAGGGGCCCAGCTTGGAAACTGCAAAGTCCTGAAAATGAGCAGAGGCTCCCAGTCCCTGGCTTCTTCCCATGGCTGGAGATATCAGTGGAGAGAAGATGAGAACAAAGGACAGCCAAGCCTAATCTTCCTGGCTGTGCTCCTACAAGAAAAGAGATAAGCAGCCCAGAAACTCATGGTATAACTCCTATGCCCGAACTCACTGGCAAGCTTGCCTGCCTACCTACACCTCTCAACCAGTGATGGACACAGAACAGAAGCTAGCCTGGAAAAAGGCTTCAAAGTACGCAAGTCATCAAGCAAGGGTCTCTGCTAGGGCTCCAGGCATGATTCCTATCCCACTAGCCTATAGGGTCTAAGTCCAGGAAGATCCTGAGGATCCCATGGCTGAGCCCCACTAGCAAGCTCATCTAGAACTGGGCTCATTTTTGGCATCTTTGAGACAAGCTGCCTTAAGCCTGAACATCTGGAGAGGGCAACCAGAAAAGATTAAAGCCCAGACAGAAGAGCTGGAGTGGAGCCTAGATGGGAGGGGCCCTAGGACAGCTGCAGAGGACCATTTCCAGAGACCAGCAGAGGGAACAGAAGATGGGTGATGTTTATAAGCAAGGAGGTAGGGAGTAATGGCCTAGGACATAAGCACCAGGGAGCCTTCTTGTGGCTCAGCACCAGGCTCCCCCAGGGCCCCCCCAATACTGACATTAAAGCTTGCACCCTAAGGATCAGACCCTAGCTGGCAGGAGGGGACTGCTGTCAAGATGGGCTCTGTGGCTTGATGGGTACAAAGCCTATCCTAAAGACAACAGAAAAGCAGCAACCCAAAGTCCCACCACAGTAATCCTGGCACACCCCCTTCCCTGCATTTTAGAGTAACACACTAGAAAAATTTCCAACATAAAATCTGGAACACGGGCTGAAGAGATGGCTCAACAGTTAAGAACACTGGTTGTTCTTGCAGAAGACCTGGGTTCAAATCCCAGCACCCACATGGCAGCTAACAACTGTCCAAAACTCCAGTCCCAGGGGATCCAACAGCCTCTTCTGACCTCTGCAGGCGTTGCACGACACTGGTGCACTTGCCTCCATGCAGGCGATACACAAATACACATAAAATTAAAAAAAAAAAAAATCTGGAACACCTCTGAAGGACCAAAAGCTCACAAAAACTTGTGGCCCTGGGGGAAAGCTGTCAAACAGCTCAGTATCTAAGCTGCCCTCTTCTGAACAGCTGCCATGTAGCCTGGTCTACATGATTAAGAGGAAGGACTACAGGGCTGGGGGAAACAAGGGAGACACAAAACCTTCTGAAATATGGTGGGGACCCTTCAAGGTGCCAGCCCAGGCCCAGTGGCTGTAAACCTGAAATACAGTCTGAGAGCTGCCTATATCTGTAAACAAAGCCCCACTTGGGGGAAAGGGGAGAGCAAGGTGGGATGGAAAGATGCCTGGAGCCACTGGTCTGCCCCTGACCTGTATACCAGTGAGAAAGCCTTCCTTGGTTAAGGGTAGGTGGCAGGCAAATTTTAAGTATGTTCTGTTCTCAGAATAAACCCCAAAGAGATGTTACAAGGTCCACAAAGCACTTCCTTAAGGCGTCCGTTGTCAGGTTTGGCAGCAGAAGTGCAGGGGAATACAGGGTCCAGCTGCCTAGGGTCCCTCTAGGCAGAATGCAGAGGAATGACAAACTTGCAGCCGAAGGGTGAGTGGTAGTTGATGCCCACCTCCTGGAAGACCTGCTGGGGAATGCCGATGTCACACAAATAGACTCGGCCTGCATGCTCCCCGAGAGGCAGAGGCAGGCCCAGTGCTAGGGACCATTTGGCATCGATGCCCTGTTCAACTTCATGCACAGGAGGGTCTATGCTGAGCACTGGTGCCCGGTTCTGGTTGGCCCAGGCTACAGCTGCCTTGTACCAAGGTTGATCCCGCAGGAAGGCATTCTCGGGACAATCCAGGCAGTTGATAACCAGGTCCACAGGGCTAGTGGGAAGATCTGTAGGTAGAAAGAATGCATCTGAAAATCCCTGGAGCTCAGAGCAAGCCCAGCCCAGCCCTAGCAGCATCTGGTTTCTAGACATCAATGTTTCTCCAGAGGCCATCCTTCTCACAGCATAAGGCTTTCATCTTTTCTGCCTTATAGAAAGGCCTCTGTATCTCACTAACCTTAATGACATTAAGCTCTGGGAAGGCAGAGTCCACTGCAGAGGTGGATCTTACAGGGAAGCTCTGCTCGATGCCCAGCAGAAACAGGAGGTGATGGATATAAGATGGGTGATAGCTAAGAGCTGGGTGCTTTTGCTCAGTTATACAGGCTCTTGTGATCTCAGGCAAGGCCCTTCCCTCTTAGGCCTTATTTGCTCTAACTTCTTTCCCCATTCTCACTTAAAGCGCACAGTCAGAGTTTGTTCTCATCATGTACTTAGACTGCTCTGAGTACCCTGAAGCCTCCACACTGTGAAATCCAATGCTCAGCCTTCCTGTGAATTAACCTAGAGTGACTCAGCTATTTTCTTCACCTGGCTTTCAGATGCACACACCACTGTACCTCCTTCCTCCCTCCCTGACCAATCCTACCCATCTTCTTGGCTAGGTTCTCAGCTCCCTGACTTCACAACAAAGCTCAGTCCTCTCCCTTTCTCTTCTTTTCCAGCTCATCACAGCTTTAGTATCCTCTGAACACCTGGAACTCCAGGCTGGATCCTTCCTTTCACTCCAGATCACAGCAAGGATCCACCCTGGATACCCAACAAGTATCTAAACTGAGCTCTCCTCCTGTCATGTCCCTACTTCAGTGGTGGCTATAGTTACTCAGGCCAAAAAATTTGCAGGCATTTTTTTAGGGGCTAGAAAGATGGCTCAGGAGTTAAAAATACATGCTGCTCTTGCAGAAGACGTAGTTTCAGTACCTAGCACCCACAATGGGTGTCTGACAAACGCCTGTAACTCCAGCTCCAGAGGATCCAATTCATGTGCACATTAACCGCCCTCCCCCACACACACCACACACACAATTTAACAATAAACGTCAAAACAATTTTTTTTTTTTGGTCTTTTTAAGACAAGGTTTCCCTATAGCACCATCTGGCCTGGAACTCGCTATGTAGATCAGGCTGGCCTTGAACTCACAGAGATCTGCCTGCCGCTGTCTCCCAAGTGCTGGGATTAAAGATGTGTGTCACTACGCCCAGCTTTAAAACAATTTTTAAAAAATTTATACTGAGACAGTCTTGCTATGGAGCTAAGGCTGTGCCTCAGCTGAGAAGGTGGTACTACAGGCATGTGTCACCAGGCCTGACTACTTGGGGCCAATCTTAGTTCTTCTCTTGCTTCTCCCTAATGAGTTAACTCTAACTTCATAAATGGGTAGTTTTCTGTGCTGGGTCACCTAAAATGCATAGAAAACTCTACTCATGTGATGCCTTTCTACTTGTAACCATTAGGTGGCACTACCAGATTATCAAACTACCAAGGAAACAGAAGACCTTAGCTCTTAGCCCAGCCCTGAGAGGGCACTTTTTTTTTTTTTTTAAAGAACCTAGGCCTGGGGCTGGAGAGATGGCTCAGCAGTTAAGAACGCTGGTTGTTCTTGCAGAAGACCCGGGTTCGAATCCCAGCACCCACATGGCAGCTAACCACTGTTCGTAACTCCAGTTCCAGGGGATCCGACAGCCTCTTCTATCCTCCGTGGGCACTGCACGATATGGGTGCACTTACCTACATGCAGGCAACACACGCATACACATAAAAATAAGTATTTTTTAAAAAAAGAACCTAGGCCTTTGTAAATGCTAAATAAGTACTCTAGCACTGAGTTACCCTCCAATTCTGGTGCTTACCTCTGAGGCTAGATACTTGTTGACCTTGGGTTTTACTGAAGAGAGACAGTTCATTGGTGATGGACTCCAGCATCTTGACAAAGTTGGGTAGGAAGAGGATGACCTGCACATCATGGTTGGCTAAGTGCCTCCCACAACTGATACCCTGAGCCCCCTTCACATGGGGCCCACACAGCAGGGCTACTGTAGGTCTCTGGTGGACATTCTTGGGATTCAACCTGGAACCCAAAGTAAAGAAGCAGTTACTGATTGGCCAACCCCTTGAGTCCCCTAACGCAGAAGAAGGCACTAGTTGTTCTTAGAGGCACCTCTCTCTCCACTGATGACCAAGTCACAGGTTCCACTGTCCCACACACCAACTTCATCCCATTGCTTGGTCTTCCCACCAGAGTTTACCCAGAAAAAGTTGTATACAACAGCATTTTCAGAACATTACTTTCTGACCCGAGAACGCTTAAAAGTTTTTTATGTGACCTGTTAGGTCCAAACATGGCAGAAGCTGCTCCACCTCTGCACTTTTCCCTGCAAAGGTGCTTGGCTCTAGTAAGGCCGGCCTACTCATTCTTTCAGGCACCTGTAAAACTCTTTCCTGCCTATGATCAAACTATGCCCCCTGTCCAGACAACCCCTTCACTTTTTAAACTCTGAGCCACCTTTTCTTTACACTGTAGATCAAGGCTCTCACCTCTTTAGGTATTACTCTGGCCATTGCTAATTTTTCTCCTTTTTGTCAATTCCTATGGCCCTAGAAAGCACCAACTTAGAAGGCTCTAATTGTCCAAATTAAGTTCTCTCTACTGAGGGGACAATAATCTGATTAGGGTAATGCTGTGGATAACCCCCAGTATTTTCTAGAGTGCTGTGTATGAGGGGGGTGTCATGGGGGAGGACGAAGGGGACAGTGAGAGAAAGAATAGATGCAAATCAATGTCAGACACACAGAAAGCACTCAACTGAAGACTGGGAGGGAGTAGGAGTGGGAGCTGCACTGGATGAAGCAGTTGCTTCTGGTCTCTGAGAATCCACTACTAAGGAGTTTCAGAAAATTAGCCCTGGAGCAAGGCACAAGTCAGGGGTAGAACAGTGATAATCACTGTCCTCAAAGGTGTTGTCAAGATGTTCTTCCCCAAATATACCTAGAGAACTTAGTGGTGTACTCCACACAGATGCCAAGCTAGTCACTGCACCTACTATCTCTGCATCTAAAGGAAACATAGTATTTTCCATTCAGACAGATGCTACACAGTGTTGGCATATGACTCACTGGGTCTGCTTCCTCATCCTATCTCAAGTCCTCACCAGCACGAAGGTAGGTTGGTGTCACAACACTGGCAACACTTCTGGGACTAGAGATTGGCTCCAACACACCAGCAGTTACCTAGGCAGTCCTTCAAGCTCTGAACCATAGCTTGCTCCTCTTGAAACATGGGACTAATATTTCCCTTCAAGGTAAGGCTATAAGGAGCACATGAAATTTTATCAGGAAAGCCCTGTGAGGAGCTGCCTGGAACTTGACACACACTGAACTGAAGTATTACCAACAGTGAGTCTGACTTTCAAAGGCAAGTTAACAACTGCTGCAAAAGACAGAGAAAGATCTTCTGAGAGCCCAAACTGAGAGAACTTGGGCAAAAGTACCATAAGGCCCAAGAAGCCAGCTGGAGAGAAACGTGAATTGGTGAGGACATGCATAACCTGCCCCGAAACTACTGTTTCAAAAAAGCAACTTCAGGGTCCCAAATACCCAAGGAGCTCATTCCAGGACCTGCCACAGTGGCTGTTCTGAGAAGAGGCAAGGCAGAGAGCAGCCTGGTAGATTTCTTATCAGTGTGTAGCAGGCTATCCCTTCTTGAGGAGGCTCCTCCACTATTTTTGCACAAGAACATCACATTTTTGCACATTTTGCAGTGCCCACATAGCCAGGAGCAGGTCCAAACAAAGGACAAAGAAGGACAAATACTCATAACTCTGTAAGGAAGATAGTAGGGGCTGGAGAGATAGATCATGGGTTAAGAGCACTGGCTGCTCTTAAAGAGGAACCTATAGTTCAGTTCCCAGCACACACATGGTGGCTACCATCTATAATTCATTTCTCTTCTGGCCTCTGTGGGCACTGCACACACACGGTACACTTACAGACAGACATGCAGGCAAAACACTCATACACATAAAATAAAATTTTAAATATTTTCCAAGGAAGGAAGTATGGGCCAGGGTAAAATCTATCCAGTATGGATCAAACCTGTTTTAATCAAGACTGCTTCTGAATCAGGAGATGCTGTGTACCCCAACACAGCTAGAGAATTTAGACAGTTTACTGTTTCTTTCACCACAGCACTCACTGTACTTTCTGAGGACCTCCCCAGGTTACTAGAAGGCAGGAACAGTGCTGTGTTCTTAGCATGCTCAGTGTCAAGAACAAGGTCTGGTACATAGCATCAGTAAATATCCACCCAGTAAGACCAAACACCAGTCCTAATGAATGGATAAACCCAAGGGCAGGCAGGAAGCTGCCTGGTTCCATCTCTCTGACCCAACTGTCAGGGTGGTTCTGGAAGTTCTCAGATAGAGCTCAGGGCTGATGTGCCTCCTAGTAAAAGGCTGAGTGTCAAAGGGTTGGTCTTTGCAAGGCTTTTGGAAGGTAGGCCTGACAGTCAGCAGGGATCTCAAAGACCAGACAGCTGTTGTCAGGAAAGAAAGGAGAGTAAGGACTACCAGGAGATGGGTAAAAGGAAGGGCAGACAAAGAAACCTGGCAACATAAGAGGCTCGTATGAGATGAGCACTGACCGTCCAGAGAACGTTCCTATGTGCATGTAAGGTACTGTGGGGTGACCCACAGTCAGTATTGCCAGTCTAGAGGCAACTTACCTATTGGGTCCTCCAAGGAGAGTCAATGTCATCTGACTGGCACACACACCAGTCATCTCAAGTCTCCGCTCTAAGGTGAGTCCATGTTTCTCAGCCACAGATAACAGCTTTTTATGCAGCTCATAGGAAACACTTGGCACCACTAGGCCAGAATCTGTGGTTAAAAGAGACAAAAAGTAAGAGAAAGTGATTACAGGAAGCCAGGCCCCAAAGTGGGTGTACTCTACCTAGACTCCACAGACACCACTCTCTCTTTTCTTTTCAATTTTTTATGGGACAGGGTTTCATGTAACCTAAACTCACTATGTAGCTAAAGATGGCCCTGAACTCCTGGTTCTCCTGTCTCCGCCTCCAGGGTGCTGGGATTTTTTTTTTTTAGAAATACATTGCCATGCCCACTTTATGTGGTCCTAGGGATTGAACCCTATCAACTGAGTTATATCCCCAGCCCAAATGCCAATATTTTAAAACCGACCTGATCCACCTTCTGAGACTTAGACATGCTCTGAAGCCTCCAAGGCTAAAAAGTAGATAATGGCCTATGGGACATCTTGTTCCAGATCATCACAGAGCACGGATGGACTTGCCCGCCCCGTCTCTTAGCAATTTAGTTTTAGACCATGATGTATTTAGTGCTTCTAATAAAAGTCCACCTAGTAGTATGAGACAATAACCCACCAATGAATAAAGAGAACACACTTTCCCCCAAATTGGGGGAAAGCCATCCTGGACAGTGGCGTTTTCCTCACAAGCAGGCTTCTCATCTTTCCTAAGAAGTGAAACAGACACTAACTAACCTTTGACCCTCTGTACACTGTTGTTCTCATCAATTTCAAGACCGGAAGTTCCACCCATTTGCTATCTGCTTCCTCTTGTTTTTCTCTTCCACTTAGCCAGTCCTCTTTGCTTAAGAAATTGAGCCAACAGCTTGTTTTCTCAAATAATTTGTTAATTTCTCCCTATCTGGGCAAGTGTTATCTAAATCTCTTACCACCAGGAAGGAATACAGGGAAAATAACTTTTAAGTTACTTGCAGTAACACTTTAATTCGCCAAAGGTTGTAGAGGATCAGTATACCATGCAAAGTATGTGGCTCTCAAAAGCCAAGTCCTACCAGGGGGGAGACTGGATACTAGTTTTGTCTGGTTTTGCAGGTCCTATTTTTCTCAACTATATTGGATTGTAAACTCCTCAAAGTAGGAATATAAACCTTTTCTTTTTTTTGTTTTTTTTTTGTTTGAGACAGGGTCTCCCTGTATCCCCAGCTGGCCTGGAACTCACCATGTAGACCAGGCTCACCTCAAACAGAGGTCTTCCTGCCTCTGCCTCCCAAGTGCTGGGATTAAAGGTGAGCGCCTGGCAAACCTTTTACTCCTTTAGCCCAGGCCTCCTCAGCTTGTTCCAGCTATACTCATCAACACAGGTAAGTTCTCACCAAGTACTCAAATATATAAATGACAACCTTGTGTTATTTCTGATCTGGTCTAAGATGGATGCTTTTATCAATCATTATCATCCCATTTCTAACAGGGTCCTGTTAGAAAAATGTGCCTTCCTCACTGGTCATTTCTAGGTAAAACTGATTTCTATCATGAATCCTGGCTGTATAGATTCCCAAAACCACACAGCAAAGACACCACTATTTTGTTGTTTTGTTCTGTTTCGAGACAGGGTCTCACTATATAGCCCTGGTTGGCCTGGAACTTGCTATGTAGACCAGGCTGACCTCATAATTATAGAACTCTGCCTGCCTCTGCCTTCCCAGCGCCAAGATTAAAGGTGTGCACTACCACACTCAGCTCAGCTTTAGCAACAGGAACTCAAACAGAAAGTCTGTTTCAAAGCATTCAGGCCTGTGTCTTCTCAGGAGAAGGCGAATAATTAACAATTTTATTTAAGACTGACATAAAAAAAAAAAAACATTTTATCAAAATAACTACTGTCATGTTGGTTGAGTGCTTCTACCTACCAGATTCCCATTTCAGTTGTGGGCAGAAATGACAAACAGTGTCATTAAAGGTAGGAGTCTCTCTTCCCATCCCTTTCTGAAATGTCAGTCACTGGTGTCCCAGGTACCAATCCCAAGGCTGCTGCCTGATCTTGTATGTTAATAGCTGATTAAAACAGCCATTTTTATGGCCTGCTTCAGACACCCACATACTATCAGAGCTAGTTAGGAATCCCTGATAGTGATGTGAAAAGGCTGATTGAATTTAAGACTCCTAAACTGTCTGGCTCCAAACCTGTCAGACAAGTCACATCCCTGCCTACTTCAAACATGCTCTTTACCTGCAAAGTCATGCGAGGAAGAGTCTGCCAGCAACCTAACAGAAGGGGCACTGCTGACAGAATGGCATATTTCTATAAGTTAGAGCAAGACAAGGCCAAAATCCTTTCTACTTGCATTAGCAGGCTTAGGATTCTACTGTATCCTGCTCTGATTGCTTCTCAAAAGGAATATATAAGCATCACAAAATATTCCTTTAAATGTTTACAAAGTTTAAGAAGCTGGACTGACTTATCCCAAACAGGCAGGAGAATAAAATAAACACCAAAGGAAAGGAACCAAGAACACAGTGCATATACTGCAAACAATAACACTGGCAAAGTCTGAACATGGGCCAAGCCTAATTATGTTTGGGTTAGAAGGTGGAGCTTTATTGTTTGCGGAATCAAGGCAGTAAAACCAGTTGCTAGGTTTCTCTGAATATTATATATAATGCTCAAACAAGAAAGTGAGATATAATTTTACCCAGTTCGTGACACACAGAGCCATCCTAAGGCTCTAACCTCAAGATATCAAGGAAAACAACTGAACCATACACGGCCTGGGCTGGGAAGAAGACTCCCTGCATTGCTCATTTCTACAGCATGGGGTTGGGCTGCCTCTTGGGTCACAGGACCCAGTGGCCCAGCACTGCTCATGTCTGCTATATCGGTCCTTTGTCATGACATCACTTCTAGACTCTCATTCTAGTCCATATTGTTTCAGATCATTCCCTCTTTATGGACATACAGTTCTCTGCCCCCACTTTGCAGCACCACATCAAGCTTCCTGTCTCCTTTAGCCATGTCCAGCTTTTCTGCAGCTTAGTAAGATGCTCATGACAAAGTGCCTTTCAGTCTAACCCAATCCTCACACGAATGTGGCCCTTTAACAGGAAAGGCTGTGTGTCCCAAGACTTATGAATGAGGAGCACAGCTCCACTGATAGACATGCAATTTCTCTGGCTCTGTGGATTCCAAATCTACTCTGTGGCGGCCACAAAACTGGGTGGTGGCAGCATGCTTACTTTTTATGATTCTAAACCACCTGCAAATTAGTACCTTCAGAACAGCAACATATAGACAGCCCCTGTAGGTCTATATTAAAGCTATTACAAAATACAATTTGGTCTCAAGACAGATTTGTTCAGAGAAGCCTAAAAATATATTCTTAATAAACTTTATCCTTCACCCAAAGCCTTCTGTTCTGGTCAATCTCTCATAACCTCTACCTTACACATGACCGCCATCAGATTCCAGATATCTTGGCTATTTCTGGGCTCTACGCCAATGGTCTTCCAGACTCTTCTTGGCTCCCTATCTCCTGACATTCTATTTCTTTTCTTTTTAATAACTTTAGCTTACATTTAAAAAAATTAATTTACTCTTTTTGGTTGTGTGTACAAACACTCCATGAAGCGCATGTGAAAGTCAGAGGACAACTTGTAGGAGTGTCTGTTCTCTTCTACCACTATGTGCATTAAATAAAAAATACTCAGATCATCTGGCTTGGTGGCCTTTACCCACTGAATCAGCTCATTGACCCAAATAATTTTTACTTTTAACTGAAACACCAAAAATAAAAGTTGTAATGCTCAATACACATAGAGGCTGTGTAATGCTTAATCAGGTCAAACCCATCGCTGGACCCTAAATTCTATAAAATGGACCTGCTAGGTATGATGTGCCCACTGGTGCAATAGTGGCAGGAAGGTTTTGGGGCTAACTCATGGCCTTTTTTTTTTTCGGTGTTTTTGAGACAGGGTTTCCCTGTAGCCCCAGCTGTCCTGGGACTCACTACGTAGACCAGGCTGGCCTTGAACTCACAGAGATCCACCTGCCTCTGCCTCCCGAGTGCTGGAATTAAAGGCGTGCGCCACCATGCCCGGCAATTAACGGCTTTTTAACAAGATTTGAGGCCTGGTCCACAGCTTCATGAGCCTGGTCATGAAGTCCACAAGTCCAAAAGTCCAAAAGTCCACAGCACTGGAGGTCACAGGCCCTAGGGGGCAACTTACTATTGTTTTATTTTATTTTGGGGGGGAGACTTTTTGAGACAGGTCTCCCTGTAGCCCGAGCTGGCCTGGAACTTGCTTTGTAGACCAGGCTGGCCTTGAACTCACAGAGATCCACCTACCTCTGCCTCCTGAGTGCCACCACACCCAGCTGCTGTTGTTTTATTAAATGGATGTATAGTCAAATTGCCTTCCAAATATTTATTTATACCCATTGATTAGTGCTGCTCTCAACCTTTGGTCAGAGATTTTTTTCTTTCTGCAGTGGGCAACGAATGGTTAATGCAGACTCACAACAAAATGCTGAGAAGTGACTACTGGGTGCTGAGCCCTAAATGAGACATCTATACCCTTCTCAAAACTCGAGGAATATCTCAAAAGAGAGGTGTGCAAGGCAAAAAGAGTTGAAGGATGGAGAGGAATGCTGTGAAATGCCATCTTCCAGTTACTGCAGCTATGGTTACCTACACAAGATCAAATCAACACCACCAGTCTACACTCCAGCAGGCAGCACTAACTGGATTCCTTGGGTTACAAAACAAAACAAAACAAAACAAAAAGGGAGGCTATGAAGGTGGGAAGAGGATATGCTGGGGATATCAAGGGGGAGTGAAGGGGGAGTGTTGAGGGTGGATAGCGTCAATGTATACGTGTATGAAACTGCCAAAAATTAAAACAATTTAAAAACCAGGTTGAACATACTTATCTCCTTAAACTTTATCATGCTTTTTTAGGGGTGTGTGTATGTGGGTGTAGCCCGAAAATGATTTATTCCTCTTGGACTTCTGAAGAGCCATAGGCTAGCGCAGGGCACCCTGGAAAGAAAGGTGGAGCCTAGGGTGGGAGGAGATTGGAAGGAAAGAATTTGGCACCATTCTAGGAAGAAGGGAACAGGGAGCAGGCGAGCCAGCCTGCCCTGGACCTCATGGGGCACCAGGGGACCTCATGAAGACCCCATGGGGTCCAGGGGATCCAATGCCCCCTTCTGGCAGGCACTAGGCATGGTACACATAGTCATAAACATAAATAATATAGCTATAAAGAATACAACATGGATGTGGTGGTGTGCACCTTTAATCCCAGTACCTAGAAGGGATCCTGTCTCAAAACAAAACAAACCTCCAAAAAACAACAACAAAAGACTATTGTAGGGACAATTACAAAGTTTTGTATATACAATGTATATTAGATTTAGAATTTTGTGAGAGCTATCTTATCGTGTGACTGTACATAGTAATAAAATATTTGGGATAGAAATATAATGATAAGCCAGGCGTGGTGATGCACACCTTTAGTCCCAGCACTTGGGAGGCAGAGGCAGGCAGATCTCTGTCTGCCTCTGTGAGTTCAAGGCCAGCCTGGTCTACATAGCGAGTTCTGGGCCAGCTGCGGCTACAGGGAGACCCTGTCTCAAAAAGGCAAGAAGAAAAAAAATAAAGGAACTATAAATGGTAAGTGCAGCTAAGTTCAATTTTTTTCAACAAAAAATTTGCAATAGGTGGTGCATGCCTTTAACCCCAGCCCTAGCCAAACTCTCTGTGACCAGGGCTATCAGGAGACAGGGACAAACCAGGCATGGTGGTGCATACCTTTAGTCCCAGCCCTTGGGAGGCAGAGGCAGGCAGATCTCTGTGAGTTCAAGGCCAGCCTGGACTCCATAGTGAATCCTGGCCAGCTGTGACGACAGGGAGACTTTGTCTCAAAAAAGACAAAAAAAAAGAAAGAAAAAGAAAAAAATTACCATTTCAAGTCTTTCTTATACCAGCAAATAACTAGTAAACAGAGCTGAATTTCTGGTGAAATATACAGGCAGTATAAGGGAAGCCAGAGTAAAAAAAGATCCAATTATCTGAATCTAATCAGCCCCTATGCTTTTGCTACTTATAACAAACTAAACGGCCAAGCAGATTCTGCCAGATACAGGACAAGTATTGAATCAGCCAGTTCCTAAGAGACAGTATTACTAGGCCAGCCACCAAGCCACTTAACTCCTGATGCAAGATGATGACTTTCCAAAAACTGAGTTTTTCTGTTTTAAGCAAATTTGCAAGGCAAAAGCAGCCCATAGGGTGTGGGACCCGATGTAACGCACCTGTGCAGAACTCCTTGCTCACATTGTGGGGTACTGTGATCCGCCGATAGACAATAGGCTCCGACTCCAGGATGTTCTCGTCGTGGCGGTACCTAGCAGGCCTTTCATTCAGGATACCCCGGGAACGGGTGCCACTTCTCCTCTCATAGGTGTCAATCTCCTCAAACACAGCTGCCTTGTCAAAAAGGGCCAAGTTCCCCTCAAAGTCAAAATCTGTGTCTGGGATCTCCTCAATGTCATCTCCAAAGCACTCGTCATCTTTATTCTTCATTTGGCCATTCTTTAAGCCACTTTTCTTTGGGGTTGCCTGATTTGGGTGTCTGCTACTAGATGACCCTGGAGAAAAAAAGATAGACTAAAGTCAGTGTGCCCATGTAAAGTACTCAGTGTAAAGTGCTCAGTAAGTTGCCAGGCTGGCCTTTAACTATGAAATAACTGAGACTACAGGTGTACACCACTACACATGGCAACAGAAGCTTTTCTGACAATAGAAGTAGAAGGGCAAGGGCAGCAGCCAGGTGGCTTCAGTCTGTCTCATGGTCATGTAAGAGGTCACTAAAGTAAAAAAATGAAGTCCACAGGAAGACATTATTCAACTGGCTCATATTCTGTGCTTACCCAGCAAGGTTCTTCACAAGAAATTTTTTAAAGTTTTTTATTTTATGTGTATGAGTGTTTTGCCTGCATGTATCAAAGTACATCACAAGTGAGCAATACTCATGGAGATCATAAGACGGCATCAGATTCCTTTGAACTGGAGTTATGGACAGTTGTTAGCCACCATATGGGTGTTGGGAACCAAGCCTGGGTTTTCTGCAAGAGCAGCCAGTGTTCTTAATCTGAGCCATTTATCAGCTTCCCCAGAAAGATCCTCTCTGACTTAATTTGCTGTCAGGGTACACCACAACAGGAGGGAATACCTTTAGAATAGATCCAGATAGTCCCATATGTCTTTAAATCTTTTGGTTAGTATAATCTCTTTTCTCAGAATTTTATCTCTTCTAGATTAACAGTCTCTGAACTATAAAATAAAGACAAGGTCCATATTGAGCTGATTCTAAAAGGACCACATAGCAAGATAAACACCAACACCATAGCAACCAGCTATCCTGTCCACATATCAATCCACACTACACTAGCAGGGAAGGAAAGTTCTACAAAATCCTCCAAACCAACCATTCACAGAGAATGGGATTTACATTTATATTCCAATCCCCATCTAACTATCCTAAAAGGATGGGGCAGGTGACTGCTATGCTCTTTCACGGTCCAGAACAAATAAAAGTACTTCCTTTGAGGAGACTAGGCTCCTGAAAAAAAATCTAGAAGCAGTGTTTTCTTGCAGTAGAAGACAATTATCACACAGACTCACAACTGTTCAGTGTACAAATAATAAGAAGCTGCAGAGTGTTCAGCCCTAAATGAGACATCTACGTCACATTCTGTTGTAGCGCGGAGGGTTGGTTTTGCATGCCATGCTGCTGGGCGGGTCCCTGGCTCTCCACGGCTGCCGGGTGCTGGGAACTACAGATCAGGCGGGTCTGCAACGGCTCTGGCGAGTGCAGACTCTGCGCCAAGGCAGGCTGCCGGGCGATGGCAACTCTGCGGATCGCTGCTAGCTGCCAGGTGGGCTGCGCCAATCTGCAGGGGGCTGGCTAGCTGCAGAACGCTCTCACTGTGCCCGGGACGTCGGCCGACGTCCCACGAGCGCAGGGGAGGTGCAGGAATGGTGAACGCAGAAGCTTCGTGAGTGGGTGTTGGGGGGGGGACCAGCTCCCTCCAGGAAAACTGAATCACAGGCTGGTCCCAGGCGCAGTGAAACACAGGATACAGCTCCAGACAAGTTCAGTGATACAGCTTCGATTTATTAGGGGGAAACTAGAGAATTTATAGTGTGGTGGCAGTAGCAAAAAGCCTCAGCTGATAGGTGCTCTGTAGGATGCTTTATTTACATATGGCAGTGGGCTTCTATGCTGTCAGATCGTGCCTGATTATCACATAGGAAAAACCTAACAGTTTCTATGCCAGAGGTCATGTATCTGTGGCGGCCACTTCAAAGGTGAGTCAAAAAGAGAATAGGTGCCCCACTGAAAAGGGGAGTCTCTGCATCAAACGCCGAGCCCCTTAGGCTATCCGGACATGGAGAGACTGCTACCCAAACAGCAGGGGTCCCCAACAACACTCCCCCCCAAGGCTCAGGCAATTTCAAGGAAGAAGGGGCAGAAGGATTTTAGGAGCCAGAGGAAATGGAAACCACATATAAACTTAACTATGACAGCACAAGTGTGACTGCACAAGATCTGCTAAGCAAAAGCCAGACAAAATCCCATCATAGAAAGGGAGAAGTGGGCACAAACTTCCACCTCTAATTGAGGAGCTATTGACATCTGATAGCTCCTGGGAGAGAAAAGAGTCCGTTTCCTTTAAGGGTCTGATCAACTACAATCCAGGGCAGGTTCCACACCGGAGAGTATTTGGGTAACATATATTGGACTTAATGGGTGGGAACACACACACACACACACACACAACACACACACACACACACACACACACACACACACACACACAAAGTTGGGTACAGTGTGCTGGTTTAAATGAGAAATGTCCCCCATAGGTTCACGTATTTGAATACTTAGCCCTAGTTGATAGCACTGTTTGGGGAGATCATGGAACCTTTAGGAAGCAAGCTTTAGAGCTCACTGCCTTGCCCTACTTCCAATATATTCTCTGCTTCCTGGGCATGCATGAAGACGTGAGCACTCAGCTTTCTGCTCTGGCCAACTCCTGCCATGATGGACTGTTATCCCTCTGGAACCATAAGCCAAATAAACTCTTCCTTTTCTTTTTGGTCTTTTTGAGACAGGGTCTCCCTGTAGCCTCAGCTGGCCTGGAACTCGCTATGTAGACCTGGCTGGCCTCAAACTCACTGAGATTCGCCTGACTGTACCTCCCAAGTGCTGGGATTAAAGGCATGTGCCACTACCCCTAGCAAAAATATATTTTTTAAACAATCTTGAGAAACACACACACACACACACACACACACACTTCAGCCAAACTGCATCACTTTAACTCTCTTCACAGCAGCTCCCTTCAATGGACCGAGAGTTAGAAAAGTTCTAATCTGATTAGTTTTGCCATCAAAATGTTATATAATATTTTATATGTTATATAACTGGGGAGATGGCAGTCATTAAAGTGCCTTGCATCCCAGTAACCATGTGAAAGCTGGGCACAGAGGTGCAGTGTCTTAGTTTGTTCTCTATTGCTGTGACAAAACACTCTGACCAGTACCAACTTGGGGAGGAAAGGGTTTATTTGCCTTACATCTCCCAGGTCGCACGCAGTTCATCAGGGAGCCCAAGGTAGGAACTCTGGGCAGGAATCTGGAGGCAGGAGCTGGAGCACAGGCCATGGAGGAATGCTGCTTACAGGCTTGCTCCTTTGGCCCGTGCTCAGCCTGCTTTCTTATGCAACACAGGCCCACCTGCCCAGGGGTGGCACCACCCACAGTGGGCTGGGCCCTCCCACATCACTCATCAAGAAGATGCCCTTCAGACATGGCCACAGGCCAGTCCAATAGAGGCAATTTCCCGATTGAGGCTCCCTCAACCCAGGTGTGTCAAATTGACATTAAAGCTATCCAGCACATGCAGTATCTGTAATTCTAGTGCTGAGGGTTGGGGGAGGGGGTAGGTCTCTAGAGCTCACTGGCCAGCTCAGCCAAATCAACAAGCTCCAGGTTCTGTGAGAGACATCCTGTCTCAAAAAATAATATGGAAAGAGATAGAGGAGGAAACTTTATATTACCTCTGGCCTCCACATGCATGTGCACACCCACAAATATCCATGAGCATACCCCACATGAATATATACATACAACACACACACACACTTAGTAAATTAATACATTATATTTTTTTAAAGCTTCTAGTAAAAACTGTATTAAAGGATGTTACTATGCCAAATAAACAAGGAAAAAACTACCATTTTTCCTATTCCTTTTTACTGGCAGTCTTTGGACAGAATGAGATTTTTAAAAATTAACTAGAGGCTGGAGAGATGGCTCAATGGTTAAGAGCACTGGCTGCTCTTGCAGAGGAGCCAGGTTCTGGTTCCCAGCACCCATGTGACAGCTAACAACCAGTAACTCATTCCAGAGGAATCCGATGCCCTCTTCTGACCTTGGTGAGCAATGAACAACATGAGTGCATTTGCATACACATAAAATAAAAATAATGAAGCATTTTAAAAAGTTAATCAGGCTGGGGAAGTAGCTTGCTGAAAGAGCCCTAGCATGCATGAAGCATTAGGTTTGATCACCAACAGAGAAAATTAAAAAACTCTATGAGGGCCTCATAAAAAGCCAAGCTTATTCTGCATATAAATCTACACTATCCTTAATTAACTTCATCCTAACTATATTCTATACTAAGTCTGCATGTATAGCTTATAGATGAAATCCCAACTCACTGGCTATTTCTGTAAATAAAGTTTAGAAACAGTTATATTCATTCATTTATATATGGACTAAGGCAGTTTTTTGCTACAAAGGCAAAAAAGACTCTGTGGTCTACAAAGCCTAAAATATTTGTCATTTGATCTTGTTACAGTTAAGAACTGGAATGACCTCCAAAGAATCATGTGTTGAAGGTTTGATCTCAAAGCAGCAATCTTGAGATGTGGGGGTTTAGGGAAAGGATTAGATTCTGAGCCTCCAACCTCACCAATCGGTTCCTAATTTGATGAACTATGATAGAAACTGAAGGAGTCTAATTGAAGGGAACAGGTTCTTGGGACAAGACCTTGTGCTCTCAGTATCTGTCTAGCTGTGTTATGTCCATTTACCCCATCACACCACACCATACCCTCCTGCGCCTATGAGCCACCTGGCCTAATGCTAATTCTTTCTAAGTTGACACTTTTTTCATTTTTTGAGACTGGGTCTCATTATGTAGCTCTGGCTGGCCTGGAACTCACCAGCCTCTGCCTCCTGAGTGCTGGGATTAAAGGTGTGCAACACTATGCCTGGCCTTAATGCTAATTTTGGAGGGGGTGGGTTGTTGTTTTTTATGACATGGTCTCCCTGTAGCCCCAGCTGGCCTGGAACTCACTATGTAGACAATGCTGGCCTTGAACTCACAGAAATCCACCTGCCTCTGCCTCCCAAGGACTAAGATTAAAGGCATTCGCCACCACGCCTCGCCTATTGCTAATTATTTTTTAAAATATTTTATTAATTTTCTTTTCTGTATATAAGTGTACTGTCTGCATTTACCTAAGTGCCCCAACATCTACGGAGGTCAGAAGAAGGCATCAGATTCCCATGGAAC